ATTTTTATATATATAATAATTATTATTAATAATAATTATTAAAATCTCTTTTTAAATATTAATTATTTAAATTTATAATTTATTATAGATTTATTTATAATAATAAAATTATTTTTTTTTATATAAATTTAATAATTATATTTATTAGAGTTATTATTATATTTAATAATTAATTAATAAAAAAATATATAAATTCTAATTTTCTATATATTTATAAAAAATTATATAAATATTTCTTTAATATTTAATAATTATTATAATTTAATATATTATATATAATACTAATAAATAATATATTAATTTAAATTAATTTAAATTAAAATAATTTTTTAAATTAAATAAAAAGTTTATTTTAATTAATATTAAATAAATAAAAAAAAATTAAATTAAATTAAATTATTAAAAAATTTATTAAAATAAAAAATTAAATTAAATAAAATTAATAAAATAATATTTAAAATATAATAAATTAATTAATTTAATTATTATAAATTATTTAAAGAAAATTATAATAATTAATTATAAAATTATTATATATTAATAAAAACTAAATATAATTTATAATAAATAATTTTATATTTTATTTATAAAATTTTTATTTTTAATTTTTAATTTTTATTAAAAATAATTTAAAAATATATATTTTTAAATAATATTTTTTTTATAATTTTAATAAATTAAATAAAAATATAATTTTTAAAAATAATTTAAATAAAATTATTAAATTTAAATATTATTAATTTTATAAATTTTTATTATTTATAAAAAAATTAAATTAATTTATAATTATATTTTAATAAATATATATATATATATATATTTAAAATATAAATTTTTAATTAATTATATATTTAATATAATTTATATTTAATTAATTATTTATAATAAATTAATTATAAAAATTTATAAAAATATTTTTTAATATATTATTTATAATAAATAATAAAATTAATTATAAAAAATTATAAATTATATTTTTAAAATTTATAATTAAAAATTAATTTTTATATTATTTAAAAATAAAAATAATTTTTTAATATATAAATATATAAATTAAATAAAAATAATTTTAATTAAAATTTTTTTTTTTATTAATTTTATTATAAATAAAAATATATTTTAAAATTAAATAATATATAATTTAATATATATTTTTTAAAAATATAATTAATAATTTATATTTAAATTTTTAATATTATAAAATAAAATTAAAATTAAATACTTTTAATTTAAATATAAATATTAATATTTTAAAAACTCTAATAATAAAAGCTATTTATATAATTAGATATATAAATAATCTAATTATAGTTATAATCTCTAAGAAAAAAAGCTTATTATTTAATAACTATATCTATTTACTAAGCTTATTAATTATTAATTAATTATTAGATATTTTAAATAATAATAACTATAATAGCTATATCTAATATAAATATTCTAATCTCTTAAAATCTAATTAATACTTTTAATAAAGCTCTTTAAAAAATAATAATTATTATTAGAGATAATATAAAATAATTATTTACTAATTATATTTATTATATATTATTCTAATTAGTTAAAAGCCTATTTATAATAATAAAGCTACTTTTAATAATATAGATTAAGTAGTTATATCTATTTAGTTTATTACTTTATTATATAGTTTTCTTAGAGCTATAGTAGGTATTTATAAAGAATAGAGACTAGCTAGAAAAAAAGCTATATAATTTTAATTAAATATTTTAATAAAATTAATTAAATTAATTTAATAAATTTTATATAAAATATTTTAAAAATTTTAAATAAAAAAAATAATTAATATAATTAAATAATTTTTTTATTAAATAAATTTTAATAATATTTAATTTTAATTAAAATATTTTTAATTATATATTAAAAAAAAAACTTAATATAAATATTTTTATAATATTAAAAAAAAAAAATTAAAAAAATTATATATTTTTAAAAATAAAAAATATAATTTTTTTAAATTATTTATATTTATTAATTTAATTAAATTCTTAAAAATATAAATAATTATCTATAATTCTATAGATAAGAAAAAAGCTATTAATATTATCTTATTCTTAAACTAACTGTCCCTCTGCTTAGATCCTATATATAGAGCAAGTGCTCTTTACTTTCGCCATTTCTCTGGTGAAACTTAGCCTGTTGGCCCTATACTGGAACGTCTTTGGAGTTCACCGCAGAACGAAATTAGTCATCGCAACCGTCACGGCTGGCTGCGTCATATGGTGTATCATCTTCACCTTCTTGGCTGCTTTCAGATGTCGCCCCGTTGGCTATGGATGGGTGCCAGTCCCTCCTTCCGGCACCTGCATGTCAAGATCAGATGTCTATCTTCCATTAGAGCGCACCAACTTGTTTTTTGATATAGTTGTCTTGTGCATTCCGGTCTTTACCATTGGACAGCTAAACCTCACGAGAGGCAAGAAGATCCCGGTTATTGGGATATTCGTCGTCGGCGTTTCGTAAGTCATCCCAACGAAGAATCAGAATGTATCCTGACCAACTTGAGCAATAGAGTCTGTGTTTATAGTGTTGGACGTCTCGTTGGAATTACGCGAGGTGCGTCGAGCCTTCTGTGAGCATGATCTCCAATGCATATTGACAATCTCAATCTAGGCGATGGCGCCCAACTATTCTTCTGGTCATGCATGCAACTAGGGCTGGCGATTGTCTGCAGCTGCCTCCCTTTGCTTGGAACAATAATACCGCGCAAGAAGAAAGCCACTTCACATTCGATGAGCGAATATAATTCGTTTCGCGGTAGAGGAGGCAATAGATCGATCATGAAACTCACCGAAAATGATAGCAGAACTGATGGCCCCTGGATGCAGTCTTCAAACACGCAACGGCCAGAAAGAACACAAAAGTCAAGAGTTGAGGAAGGAACAGACTCAGACTACGCTCTGGAATCACTTCCATCAAAGAATAAGGAGCACAAAGAGGTGACAGTTGTATGGGGCGTGCAATAGATATTCACATTCTGTGTTGTGTGTTTTTATCTAGATGTACACTTTCGACTCCAGCAGACCCGAGATCGAAGTCTTTAACTTTCAGGTGAAGCGGATCTTAAAAGAAATGGTACAATGCTGAGCTGTCCAACAGCCTGTACTTTTGGACGATGTGACGACCAAGTGCTTGAAAATGAAAGCTTATGATCACAGCTTACAGGTCGCCAATGGTGTCTCTGTTGCAAGGGGATTTGTCTTCGACCCAGCCCACCAGACGGTTGGCAATATCGCTAGAGTAGCAAGCGTTTGAACGCCCATGGCCCAAGTTTCCGTCTTCTGGCATGACGCCCGAGTTGTAGAGGAGGGCCCCCTTGTAGTACTTGCTGACGTCGCTGGCGCCGCTTTGTTTGACAACCTGCTTGAGACCCCATTCGGTGGTGAGACCAACTCCGTCGGTAATCATGCCTATTGGAAGTAGATATTGAAGTTAATATTGTAATCTCAAACATTTCTAAGCTGGATCGAAAGGACTTACCTTTGATTTGGGCATCAGGACAAGGGACAAGCTGGCTAATGCCCCTCTTCTCGTCGTTGCAGGTGTGATCTCCATTGTCACATTGCAACAGTCCCGGGTTTCGGATGTTTTCGTTGCTGGAATATGAGGTCTTGACCCGGACACAGCCAGTAGACTCCTGGAAAACGGCAGCGAGGATGAACCGGGGATCGAGCCCAGTGTCCGTGCCAGCCTGCTTGATTGCAGCCTTGAGAACAGTGTTCTCGGAATCCGAGTTGGGCTCAAGGCTTAGCGATTTGCATGCACCTGCGGACGAGGCAATGTTGGTAGACCAGCTAAAGTGAGTTGAGTTAGTACAATATCCACGGGCCTGGGAAAGGTAGAGCATATTACAGAGTTTCGAAATCGGCCCAGCTGGAGACATCGGGCCAGCCGTCTCCAACAGTTCCGTCTCCCTTGTAATTCTTGTATGTAACGGCTCGGGTCTCCAAGGGGAATCGAGATGGCGAAGCATGGGCAAGACTAAGCATGCCACTTGCAGCAAGGATATAACGAACAGTAGTGACCATGATTGCGATAGCGGAATGCGATGCTCTTTTCGTTTTCTTTGGTAACTGGACTGCTTTAATCACAAGAATGAGATGGCAGACTTGGTGGTTTTATGTGTCAACAGTCTCTCCCCTGTGGTTGAAGCCATGACATCCGTCTACCTAGCCGTACAAAAGAGGAAGGTGAGCATAAGAGACATCGAGAAGACGCAAACTTCTACAACATGGATATGAGAGAGATTTAGCCAAGCGAGCCTCTGTGGTCTGATTGACTGACAGCATTAATCATCTTCTGTTGCCTTATAGGGTTGTGGTTTGAGTAACAATCCACAGCCCCACGGACATGACCCAATGACAACTAGGGAGTATCCGCTGAACTGGAGTTTACGAGAAAATTGTCGGAGGTTCGGACTGTTTGTGATATGGGGTTGTGGATATTGAGTGGCGGGAACCGAGAGTTGTCGCGTTCGTATCTGGGATGGACCGCTTCAACTTACGAGCAACATATTGTTTGCTGACCGGCCCGTGAAGGCGGAGCGCAAAGAACGTTGTTTCTGAAGCCGACAGTAAGGCCTGAAACCTGCACGTTATTTCCGCTCGCTAGGTTAGGGATCCTGCACGGTGACCAGGGAAACAATCCAGTCGGATTAATTGGCGTGCGGACTGGAGAAAATATGCCCAAGCTTCCAAGATTGGACCAAAGGCTCCGGAAAAGCATTACATATGCGTCGGAGGTTGTCAATAGCACAACAACAGATACTAACATAGCAAACATGAAGGCTATCAGGCTGCACTGACAGATAGTAACTATGACATGACACCGCCACATTACGTTGCTGTAGTGTTTCAACGGAGTACGTATTCTCAAAGCATAGATACCCAAGGCTGGAAAGCTGTGCGGAAAAAAAGCTGCGTTCACCTGATGATCTGGGCTGTAGGATTTTAACCCCTGCTCTGCATTTACCGGGCTTGTATCGATCGAAGAGCGAAGCGTTCTTGCATTGATAACTTTTTCCGGGTCGTTTCGAGACAACAAAGCTCTCATTGATGCATTGCGTCTAGACTAGATTGATCATCTTTACCGTCGGATATTTTACTGCTTATGAACGGAGAGTTAAAGTCAAGTTGGCGAGGGCATATAGTCGATAAGGTACATGTTAGCATTAGCATTCATAGATCCAATGGTTAACTGCCCTGGGCTTCCCCATATATTTCTATTTTTAAAAGTGAGCAAATTACATCCGAATAATCATACTACGGTGAGCTATCCACGAGGCGTCATATTAACAAGTATGAAACAATATACCACCGCCACCAGGGGCCACCGGCACGTGGCTAGCATCGTTCGATAGAATATTCACCGCCCGAGGCTTACATGAGAGCGGGGCATCCTTCAAACTTTCATCCAGGAATTTATGAACAGACAACTAATGTTTAAGGCCTTTCATTTGTTCCTTCGCACCTACAGCCCTTTTCATGACGGATGCGTGTGGATTCTAACAGAAGGTCAAACGGAAAGGTTCTTACGGTCATTTCGCATAATTCATTTAGCTCTGAAGCTTTTCGATTTAAGATTAATGAGAAAGTTCGATACATATCTAAGAAATTTATGCTTATCTTACTCTACTCTTAAAGACTCTTTTCTAAGGACACTTTCAACCTTTTTCTTGGACACACCGAGAGAGAAATTTACTCTATGCTAGAACTGCTACTATTGTGGATAGAAAAGAAGCCTTTGTCCGAAACTTGAAAACAAACCACTGATAATCAGGTGTGCTCGCCCTGAAACTTTACCATTTACCCTTCACTTTGGGGAATTACAAGTCCTTTTTTCAAAGCGAGAGTTCAAAATCGGCTACCAACCACTTGATTAGAACCAGCCGTAGAAATTATCCATTGTATGTCATCGCGCACGATTCGATCTCCTTGTGTATCTATTTTAGAGTGGACGGCGGCCGAGAGGCAAGAAAAGCAGCCAAAGTATACATCATTATACTGTACCGTTATGGAAGCGATGAACGAGATATTATACCTTTTTGTAGCACATTTTTCTGGCTTAAAGTAATTTTAATGAATATTTTTTCCCTATGGTTTCAACCAGAGCGGCAGAAACTGAAACGATATACGGACATGAAAGGCTAAATGAGAGCATCCTATTTGAAAGGACGACAAGTGTATCAGAGAACGGCTGAGTACGATGCGTTTTCCACTTCCTTTGCACAATTAAATAGAGTGCTTTAATTTATGGCTATATGGCCCTACATAAAACTTGAGGGACAGAAATTGGCAAAGTAATGGGAATGGATGGCTGTTCGCGGGTTTAGGGTAGCTCAGCAGGCACAACCAGGTGATTCTAGTTCAGGGGGTGGTGATTTGCAATCAGCCTTGTATCCGAAAAACTCGCACATTAAATTCTAATTACCCTACTGAGGGTCTTCTGAGATATGTGGTGGATCGTGAGTTCAGGACGGATGAAGCCAACTCAAAAATCCCTGAGGCTAGTTAAATCGGGTTTTGGCGAAGTATGGTCTTACATGTTGATCTGTGGCGACTGGAGTAACGAGGAAAGATTGATGTCAATTTGCGCCTTAGAAGCTCACCGCACTCTTTGTTCGCGCATGCAGGGATGTATGTACGCGCTGCGCATGAAATTTCCGGTAAATGCGGCTGGGGGCTTTACGTATTTCGCCTGGATGAAAAGCACCAAGGAGACTGACAGCCAGAGAGTTGTCCTCGACTACCCCTTCCGGCTGGCGACAGTAGCTGGACTTTAGCTCTGTCGATCATGGACCAAAGTTAGGAGACCCATTTCATTGTCCCAGGACTCCCACCCAATCGACGTCCTGTTGCGAGTCGCGTAATACGCGTTTCCGCCGTTTGAGGAGGAGACTTATCTCCCCGGACTGGGGCAGTGTGGGTGATGGGGACTGTCTTTCCCACACACAACCGCAGTGCAACGGGGAGGGCATGATGTCTCAACGATTAGCTGCCCACTGACTTCTTGCGGCCCTACTATAAAACTAATTTTTTTTTTTAGGGAAATACTTGCCTGGGTGCTTTAATGCTGAACTGTACTGTTTCCCCCCTCACTTCGCTTCGCGAGGTGAGCGGAATTTGGAAATTGAACGAAACTTGAATAGGTCGTGATCGGCTCGTGAGCGAGTCATTCCACTGTCTCGGGTCAGCCCCATCAGGTATGGCCCTGAAAGTCGCGGAAACCGGAATACTTAGTCTGTGGGTCAGAATGTAGATCTGCTTTGGTCAAACTGAAGTGCGCCATACCGCTGTAAATTCATTGTTAGTCCCTCATGCCGACGCCCTACTAGCTCCCATAGGAGATCAAGATCATGGGTTTTAGCTGAATTTCTACACCCGTGCCTGCGTGTTAGCCAATGGGACCATACTAGTGTCATACCATTATCCTTCAGGTCATCTAGTTATCCGATCGCCGTTGCAACTTACTCTTACTTGATGGATTTGTCGGTGATCGTCATAGAAATCCAGCTCTGGGACACATTAGCGGCTGGGGTACATATGTGGTGGCACGTTTGTAAGAAAACTCTTGCATGCATAAGTAGTTCCGCCCTGGTTGCTTGCATTTCTTTTTCCTGACCGAAGCCTGCTTCCATTCCATCCTCTCTTTTGCCCTTACACCGAACCAGTTGTGCATCCAAAGATCTTTGCTTTTGTTTACCGTCGAGGCTGAGCCTCACTGGATATTTCGAGGCACATCCACTCCTTCAAGTCTATTTATCGCCTTATAATCCTATCCCACGAGTATTTGCTACTATGGCGAGTGGCGACGGCGGCGCCTCAAGCGAAGAGGCCGTCACGGGCCCGTATGTTGATATTCAGTTTTTCTTATTGATAACCTAGTCGCAACTATTTGCTGACCCAAAATCGCACAGTAACTCCTACGTCATCCTCGTATTTACTTGCATTTCCATCTACAATGT